AATGAGCCAATGCACATTGGCATGCGTTTATTGCATCCAGCTGCTGCTGATCACAGCATGAGTATAAGTAGGCAGCAGGTGCAGCGCATATTCAGCTTTTCGCTTCGGAGCCGAGCGATCACATCGTTCTGCTCCTGACTACTCTACTGAGAGAAAAGACTGAACGAGTTCAGCGCGCTCTTGAAGAGCTCTTCGTGTTGGTGGACGGTGCTTCAGCGGTGGAGTCGCAGGACAGCCGCCCCGCCCGTCCAGGCCCCCGCCAAACCTGATGGTAAGCGAGAGAGCAAGAGGCCCGGAGGCAGGCGACCCAGAGGTGGAGGGACGTGCTCTTCAGGAGATGGTAAGCACACCACTCCCTCCCCCGGAGGAGGGCCGGGCGGAGAATCTTTTTCCACCAATGACCTCTTGGTCGGTGGTACACAAATTCTCGACAAAGAGCAATTCCTCTATTTCTGGGTCCCCAGAGGGGACGGGGGGTTGTGGACGATCTAGTGCGTATCACACTGGGGCATATGGCAGCTACGGCGGCAGTCACGCCGCTGGGGCTGCTCCATATGAGACCGCTGCAGCACTGGCTCCATGGCCGAGTCCCGAGGTGGGCGTGGCAATGCGGCACCTTCCGGGTCCAAGTTACACCGGCCTGCCGCCAAACCTTCACCCCGTGGTCAGATCTTGTGTTCCTCCGGGCAGGAGTGCCCCTGGAGCAGGTCTCCAGGCATTCTGTGGTTTGCACGGAAGCCTCAACCACCGGCTGGGGGGCCACGTACAACGGGCTTGGAGTCAGGGGTTTGGACGGGGCCCCAACTGCACTGGCTGCCTCGAGTTGCTGGCAGTGCACCTTGCCCGGGGCCGTCTCAAAGGCGCTTACGTGGCAAGCATGTACTAGTCCGCACGGACAACACAGCGACCGTTGCGTACATCAACCGACAAGGTGGTCTGCGCTCCTGTCGCTTATCGCAACTCGTCCGCCACCTCCTCCTCTGGAGTCAGAAGCATCTGAGGTCGCTTCGTGCTGTTCACATTCCTGAGCTGCTCAACCTGGCAGCTGACGAGCTGTCCCGAGCTGCGCTCCTGGGAGAATGGCGACTCCATCCCCAGATGGTCCAGCTGGTTTGGGGACGTTTCAGAGCCGCTCAGGTAGACCTGGTTGCCTCTCCAGAAACCTCTCACTGCCAGTTGGTCTTCGCCCTGACCGAGGGAACACTCGGCACGGATGCACTGGCACACAGCTGGCCGCGGGGCCTTCGCAAGTATGCATTTCCCCCAGTGAGCCTTCTGGCACAGTTGCTGTGCAAGGTCAGGGAGGACGAGGAGCAGGTCCTGCTGGTGGCCTATTGGCCTTCCCGGACCTGGTTCCCAGAACTAATGCTCCTCGCGACAGCCCCTCCTTGGCCGATTCCTCTGAGGAAGGATTTACTGACTCAGAGACGGGGCACCCCTTGGCAGCCGCGTCCAGACCTCTGATAACTTCATGTCCGGTCCCTGGACGGGACGCAGAGGTTCTGAGTGGCCTACCCCAAGAGGTAGTTGACACCATCACTTCAGCGAGAGCGTACGCTTGAAGTGGAACCTGCTCGTTGAGTTGTGTTCTTCTCGCCGAGAAGACCACCGAAGATGCCCGATCGGAGTTGTGCTCTCATCTTTGCAGCAAAGGGTTGGAGCGAAGGCTGGCTCCCTCCACCCTTAAAGGTTATGTCGCTGCAATCGCTGCTAACCACGACCCCGTAGAAGGAGGTCGTGGGGGAAGCATGACCTGGTCGTCAGGTTCCTTAAGGGGACGAGAAGGTTAAATCCTCCACGGCCACCCTCTATTCCCTCGTGGGACCTGACTCTGGTGCTCACGGCACTACAGCAGGGCCCATCTGAGCCTTTTTGCAGGCGGTTGAGCTGAAGTTCCTTTCAAT